ATTTTTTCGTTTTCTATTTATTATGTCCTTTTTCTAAAGATTTTTTGATTTGGACATTTTTGTATTTATTATAAATGTTCCCTACAGGTTTACACGGTTCAACGTTTGTTTGCATGACAAAAATAGGACAGTTTATATAACTAAAATGTTATTAAGAAGCGATCCATGGCATGGACTTTCAAGGCATTTGTACTTGTATAAAGTGTCATTTATATCATATTTTCACTCCGATAAGCTAAAAGAGGATGTTCATTGAGATGCATTGTTGTATCAGCCTCCCTTTTTATATTTGCAGCAACGTGGAGTTGAACGTGGAGTTGATTTAAGTGAAGCCCATTTATTGCAGCATGAGGTGTAGATGTGATGGAAATAAATGGCTTAAATGAACCTTCTGCAGTGTCACCAATTTTGGTCAGCTGGCTGGCGTGCAATATTCCATTAGAGACTAGTCTGCACACACATGTACATGTATGTAACAGTTTTATTAACTTGTAAACAGTCTGTAGGGTTTGCAAACTACCCCAACATTTTAGATGTAGCTAATTTTAGATTTATAATGGAATAATATAAATTTTCCGTAAGATTTCTTGCGTCAGAAAGATTGAGTGTCACACCAGATGGGTGAGAGTTGACAACCCTGCTTCTGAAATTGCATAATATAACTCTGCAATGGGGCAGCACTAAGAGTGGTAGAGATTTTCACCTTTGTGCATCTTCTCTGTTCTCCCCAGGTTTTCCTGTCTGCATGTGTGGTGCAATGCCTCTCCATTTAATGCTGCTTGGGTATAGGGGCTGGTTTTGGATGCTACCTGAGCCTCCACATGTCCACTTCATACTGGTATTTCCCACTTTAGAAGGAAAGAAATTTAACAAGTGAGCAAGAAAATGAAGTTCTGCAAGCACAAAACAAAATGGCTCTGAAAACACCTTCTTAGGCTGCAAACACATTGTGCAATATATCTGGGAAAATGTGGTTTGTGCAGACAGTGAAACAATATGTAGGAACTCAAATCTATAATTTTACATCCAGCAATCAAGCCGTCCTGTTTTACAGAAAATTTGTGTAGCCGTTATGTGTTTCACAATAAGCTAACGCTGCAAAATTTCCCGTAAAAGCAATTCGCCGCAATACTGCCCTCTGGTGTTCATTCAACCAGTAAATGAGGTGAGGTGAGTAGTCATTGTTGACACACCACAGCACACAACGAAACTTGTCCTCTGCATTTAACCCATATGTGACATTGTGACATAGGAGGGGGCAGCTAATTCAGCGCCCGGGGAGCAGTGCTTGGGGGAGGAACCTAGCTCAGGGTACCTCAGTGATACCTTGTGGGTTGGGGATTCAAACCAGCAATCTTTCGATTACAAGTGTGCCTTGAACACTTGAACAAATGAACATTTCTTTCTTTTCCATCTATCCATCTTCTAATCTAGTATAATGACTCCAGACTTATTATGATCCAGCACCACAATAGCAGCTCTGGAAGTGGAAGGCTGGGCCTCTAATATAAAGGATTATGACATTTTTGTAAAGCAGTCTTTTTTTAATCAAATGTCTATACGATTAAAAAATATCATTTGAGACAGTTCACTGGGGCAGGTGTTACTGCTCGCACACTTATGGCAGAGTGTCACATTTTGATATTCCAGTATAGGCCTACTGGATTATACCAGACACCAGTCTGGAAACTTACACATCGAGGCTGAGAACCAGCATCACGTCTCTCTGAGCAGTGGAAATTTAATCAAGAAACAGGAAGAAACTTCGGAAGGATAAACAAAACCACATTTTGTGCGGATTAATAATTCTGACCAAAGACTTGGTGACTTCAGATCAGATTTCTTTTCAAAAACAGTATTGAAAGGGCTAATAGGCAAGATTCTTATTCAGGAGAATCAGAGATGCCAATGCAACCCCAGGTAATTAAATTAAACTCAGTATAAAGTTTAAACCATTGCTATCTCACTCATTAAGACACAATGCAACCTGTAAAACAATGTGGTAGGTTTAAAGAGACATTTAATTTGATTTTTAAGCTATTTGTTTCTTTATTTGTTTATTTACTTTTGGTACCGTGTGAACGACATTTTCATACAGTAAGGCAAGAACCTTCAAGGACCTTGTCGATGGATTGTGTGCTGAATCAGGTCACTTTTTTGGAGAAAGATAATCAGGCATTCATGTTATAGTCAAAGAAGCAAAAACAACTTTACAAATGAGTTTCAGAGCCACTGCAGAACCACACAGAGAGTGGCTATGAAGACTTCTTCAGGAGATGCCATATGCTTTGGTCAAATGACTGTTACTTAACAATATGTAGGTCTAGGTGTATTTGTACAACACACTTTGCAAAGATATCATTAAATTTAATCTTAGTGATTTTAACAGTTTTAAAATCGCTTCAAAAAATCCCAGTCATCCAAAGTTATAACTCCTCAGTTCTGACATGGAAACCTGCATGATCTCCATCCATCCATTTTCTTTACCCGATTGGTGCTGCACCATTACTGCGACTTTTCTACCTACGCCGCAAAGGTGTGGTGCAGTCACACGCATTCGAACGTTTTTAAAGGACATTTCTCATAGAAATTTTTGCTTCTTTGTGAACATCACTGACTCTTCACACCCCAACACAGTGAGATGTAATAGTATTTACAATTCAAACAGCGCACATAAAACATTTTAACAGTCAGCAAACAGAGAAAAAGGCACAATGTAAAAGACAGAGATTTTTACTTTAAAAAAAGAAAAAATATATATGTATAAGAATAATTATATACATAATGAAAAACAGCAAGGTTTTATATTTTGCATTTAGAAATATCCCATAGTGGTATGAATTTTTAAAATATTTTCACACAAACAGTTTTAGGCTTTACATTAATTTATGGAAATGACATTTTGGCTTGCATCTGTACTTACAGAAGACGCATTATGACAACACATTCAGACCATTGTAAACTTCTAAGAACATCAGTTTAAGATATTTTATAATAGCTTATTGCAACAAAACACAATGAAAGTCATACACTATTTTTATTCTCAAAAGGTTGCACTAACATTTTTAAATGAAGTGAAGATCACGCTTATTGTATGTCATCTAGACCAGCAATGCTCCTCATTACATTATAAGAACCTGGACATAATTATTTTGCAAGCAATAATAAAATAAACCAAATAAAATGTTTCTTAACAATTACTATGAAGACGTACACTGAGGAAATGGTAAGTCGGGTTACCAAAGCAAAAATAAAAATAAAAATGAATGAAAAAGATCATAGTAATATGGTAACTCCATAAATGACGACTGTTCACTGCCAAGGTAGCCAGTTTAAGCTCCCTTATTACATTATCTACCAGAATTTTTACTTTATCAATTATGTGTTCAGTTTAACAACACATGCATATGTGTATTGACCATAGGCAGTGGATTCAAATATCGGGTCAGTTGTTGAGGCTCATACACCTGCATTGCTCATGAAACATACCACCAAAATGATTTTTAAATGCCAACCTGTCTTGAAGGTTCTTGGGTCCCAAAGACCCAGACTACAAGGATAACCTCTCTTTTGGTAGGTCTACTTAGGCATCATTGCAGTACAGACCTGCGGATTTCTGAGAGCAATCCCTCAGATTTCATAGTTATCTTCTTTTACCTCTCCAAAAAGATGGGGATATTGATTAGCACGATCTTGAGTTAATGTTAATCATTATTTCTGATATAATAATTCAATACATATTTTCCATTAAGTTTTGCAATTGTTATTGGCGAAAAATACATTGCAACATAATGACGGAAGAATATTTCAAGAGAGAAATAAATCACAGATTCATGTTTGAACATCTATACAGTTGCCAACTACGCAATTTTTGTTAAATGTATAAAACCGTATCACAGAAAAAATTGCACCTGCTTACACTCAATGACAGTTTTTCAAATGAAGTTTTATTCTGTGCTGGATTAAAATTACCTCAACTTTGTCAATCACTCATTACAGTAACTGGAAACAGTCCAGAAGGCAGGTAGACTTTCCTTATTTAGTTATTAGCACAAGGGATCAGAAAAAAACGCAGTGTGGACCCGAAACAACACCGGGCGTTTTTAATCATAAATAAATGTGTGAAAAATGCCTACTTTCTTCAGGTTATTGTAAGATGTAAATTTCACCATTTTCTTTAGTCCAGTAACTGTACTACAAATATCACTTTTAAATTGTCATTAAGTCTTATAAACCTCTTTTGAATTCCATAACATTATGTCAAGAATGTTACTTAAAATCGCACAATTCATATTACCAGTTTTTTGTTTGAGATAGAATTTAACTTAACAAACAAATAATTTTGTTCTTAAGCATTGCATAAAACAATGGATGTCACTGTGCATTTAGGTAAAATGGATTGTGAAGTTGTGAAGTTTTCAACTGTGACAAAGTCCTTTTTAGGGGAATTCTGTACATAATTATGTGGGGTTAGCAGTCACAAACACGAAAATATATTGAGTAAACAAGGACATTATTTTAGTACCTTTACCATGCCAACATCGCATAGTACATGGAAAAAATCGGCAAGTATTCCCAGGATTTATATGTTTATCAGAGCTTGTCAGAAGATTGGAAATTGCACACACCTCTTTTCAGTCTTATAATTGACACTTTTTAATACTGTGTTTGTCACACAATAAATATGCATGCTGTTACGTGGACTGGGGTTTATATCACAACGTGACGTAAGACTGATGACTCCTCTGAGGAATCTACAGAAGTCACTGTGCCTATGAATTGAGTTGGTGCATTTGGGGCTGAAGACCTAAATGAATCTGAACAAGCCCCCAATGATTGATTTAGCTCAGATATCTCAACAACCATGATCTCAGTTTGAGAACCTAATGATCATTCTCCACTGTCAAGGACACCTAAAGACAGTGGATGTATTTGTACTTTAAATAGGATAATCCCTCTATTGATTTGTTCCTACCCAAGGAAAACCCAATTATTATAACTAAGGTTGGCAACCAGCTTTATTGGGTTACTGTGCAAAACAATGCAAAATGTCAGGTCCCTAAACCTCAGAATGCATCACATTTTCAGGAGGTAAACTTTCCAACTCTTGAAAGAACACTGGGTGGAGAGGGGGGCCGTTTTCACTTCCCAGGTTGCCTCCCAAAAGCGGGAGCCTGGGACTCTCGTTAAAATCCTGTCGGAGGCTCGCCTGTCCCTGGTCATCTCCATCAACAGCCTTGCCCACCACCTCCTGCTCATTACGCTGTTCTACATGGAGGTCAGAGACAACCAAAGTGGATGGCTCCCCAATGCCCATTTGGTAGTAGACCATAGTGGGGGACTCATTCATGAAGGCTGAGGCACATGCCTGAGTCTCCGTAAAACAGAGTACAGAGGCATCGGATGGAAAAGCCTCCTGGATGTCAACTGGTCCCGCCCCCTGGTCCTCCTGCCCATCCACGAGGGGCTGGGCTACCAAGCATAGTCTTTGGTTTACACCGCTGCTCTCATCCTCCTCCTGCTCCCTCTTCCTTTCCAGCTCCTCAGCGCTTTGAAGGTGCAGAACTGCTGTTTTGTTCTCCAGCGCCAGGGTGTCCCGCTGGACCTCGTGATCTGCCACCGTGACCGCTTCCTCTGTGCCCCCTACAGGCACAAGGTGGGACTGCAGTCCTCCTTCAACAGCAGATGCACGACAGTGGGCAGGCGATACACTGAGCTCCTCACAGCCCCCTCCCATGCCCACGCTCAGCTGCGTTTTCTTCATCGAGGACTGGGGGCAGTGGGGGTATGCAAAAGGGGGGCTGCTTGCATAGCCGTCACATGAATTCCAGCAGGGGAAAGCTGTCTGGCTCAGCTGGACATGTCACAGACATCGGGGGAGGGGGTGCTGACATGAGTACCTTCCACATTTGTGAAAAATTCACTATAGTGAAAATTTACCTGATCTGAGGCCTAATCTCACGTAGCAGATAACAGCAGTCAGGCTACAGGTCCGTTTGTTAAAAACAGGCTCACACACATACGTTACACTTCTTTCACCTAGCCTTAGGCTGACTTGGGGCAATTCAGGGTTAATGTGGTGTCCTTTCTAACGCACATCAACACTAATGGAACTGAATTTAGTCACAATTATAAAGCGAATGCATCAGGATAGTATAAACTTTGGAGAATAAGTGCTGCTTAAGAATGAAAAAGGGAAGCTTTGCTGATTTGCAATGTGAGCATAAGACCTCATATTGTGTGAATTTGTACTGAACAGTAATGGGCACAGACTGAAGGCTAAATAACCTTCCGAAAGTCCTACCCATTCCCTACCCCTGACCACAGCCCTGTCTCTGCCCACATCTCCACCCCTGACCACAGCCCTGTCTCTGCCCACATCTCCACCCCTCACCTGGCATGTGACACCTGTCTGGTTGCAGCCGCAGTCATCACGTGACCACACACTGGACCCAGCTCGCAGGAGGAAGTGCTCATCTGCTTCTGCACCCTCCTCATCCATGTCCTTTCTCGATACGACTTCAGCAGTCAAGGGGTCGACCTCAGCACTGTTCCGCATCAGCTGGTTATGAAAGAGGCACAATCAGTGAGAATAATGGCTCCAACCAAGAGTGACAGGCAGACTGGAGGCCTGCTTTCTGAACCTGGATCAATAGTGGCCAATCTTGGTCAGTCAGTGATTCTGTCCTACATTAGTGCTATTCAGTACTGGACTAGAGTTACTGGTTCAGCCCAGAAGGAACTACCAGATTCAACTAATCATCTGGACCAAACCATTTCAATACTTGAATGGATCAAAGAAGGATCATAACTGTCAGGACATGACTTCAACACAGCAATCAGAAGCTGAGTTGGAACATGACTCATCATGCCGTGCAGTTGTCAAGGAGCAGGGTTGGCTGATTCTGACCTAAACATACGATCCCAGTGTCCACATCCCCACTTGTTACAGCTTAGACCCCACCTTCTTCCTGCAGGCACGGAGCTTTCCTTGCCGCAGGTGGGGGCGCAGCAGACGCCGGTGGACGTCGTCCCGCTCACAAGTGATCTCGCCCAATGTGTAGTGGCGGATGGCGCTGTGGCGAGGGGCCATGCTTAGATGGCGCCCGCCTTGGCTGGGCATGCTGGTGACACCCCGACGCCTGGAGAAGTAGTACACGGTGACTGCGTCGAAGCGAACGCTCTTCCGGCTGGGAGGCAACCGGGGTTGCCGGAGGATAGAAGCAGCTGGTTGGGGAAGGAAGATGGAGGGGGGAGGGGGTGACAGAGATATGAACGGGAGGAGGGAAGGACAAAATGGGAAATACAGCTGATTCTCGATCATTATGGGGGAGGGGTCAAATATACCGTGCAATATAAGATACAATAGCATTCACATCTAACTAAACCTCGATTGTAGCAGTGCAACCGGTTTGTTTTGGTTCTTGCTGGATGCTGCACACCTGGCAAAATACATCCAGTCACGTCCACTGCGTCTGCTCCGGACGTCTCTCGATCGATTTTATTAAGGCTCTTATAGGACCTCAGAAGTAAGTACAATTGGACGTTACTCGATAGGACGCAAGGCGATGGATGTGCATAAATACAAAACGGCAACTGGTGTACAGGTTAAGGACTTAGATCTGAAGAGACTATCTGCAGCAAGAGCTTCATGCAAGGCACTAAACTTCAACGACCTTGATAAAACACCCAGCTGTATGACAGTTATCAACATGCATCATTAGTTAAACACCTACAGTTAGAAACAAAGATGGAAAATAAAACAGCTACACTAGGCATTGTGCTGCTAGGTCCAACCACAACTATTTGACATTTGCAGCTGTCTTGGGGGAAAAAATATGAATCATTTTTATTTACATATTTAATTCCATATGACATTTGGCACCCGAAAAACACTTTAGCTAAACACCAACAAGGAGTTTATGGTCGATCCCAGCTCCTAACAAACACCGTGCAAGCATTAGTGTGAAAACTGAGTCTCCGTCATCAGTCTGAAAAGTAGGATTTGTGCTGCCAACCACTACAAGGGGACAAGGGCACCTTTATAAAGGCTTAGTGCAAACGGCCTTAAGATGATCAATAATGTGTCCGTGATAAACAGCTGGATTTGTTCTGCAGAGGCTATGCCTGATTCTTGTGGGATCTTCCTGTCTTCTCGCAGAACAAGCTCACTTTAAACAATGCTAGGAACTCCTACAATTAAATATAAAATCTGTTAGCTTAGAGGTCCTCTGTCACTGATTGTTATTAGGTTGTGCTGTAATTAAACACAGGCCTATCGGTTGCTTCGTTGACAGAGTAAACTATTCCCCCCTACCTAACTGACTGCCGCCCTTTGCACGGCACTCACGTGTGAGGGAGGGGGCAGAGGGCGGGTTGAGGCTGTCGCAGCTGTCAGCGCTGTCACTGCTGAAGACGTCGTCGTCCAAGGTGCTGGGGGGGGGGCAAGGCAAGCCACTATCCATCTCTCCAAACTGGCTCTGCAGCCCGAATGCTGTTGGGGAGTCCATGTCACCTGGTCTGTGGGGAGGGGGGGTGGGTGCTGATGGACACCGGATAGACAGTCAGCACAATAAAACGTGAAGGAATCAGCTTGCCAGGATGCCAAGCTCCATGTCAAGTGGTATTTTCAAGTTCATTTTTGACCTAAAACCTGTCCCTTCCTCTGCCCGTCTCGCGCGCTCGCTGTCCCTTCCTCTGCCCGTCTCGCGCGCTCGCTGTCCCTTCCTCTGCCCGTCTCGCGCGCTCGCTGTCCCTTCCTCTGCCCGTCTCGCGCTCTGCCTCTGGCCCCCCTGGATAACAACAGACATCCCTTAGCCCCACAGTTGTGTGAAATTCCCCTTTATGTTTAAGACCTACATATTTAATCAATTGAACAGAATAGTCATAATTTAAAAGGAACCGTTTCCACTGCTAGATTTCCTCTGTTGTGTAAAATTTACACTATACTAAGACTAAATGTGATAATCCCAATTCGTACTGCTTAAGAAATCTTATAATTGCTATTCATATTAAGAATGTTTTTTTAAGAAGCATTTATGCCATACTGACATTAAATGTGCGTTCTACAAAGCTAGTGTTGGAATTTTAGGCTAGTTTTCATGCTAATATTTAGTCTTTTAATCACTAGTTATGCTGTCCAACCATGTATGTTCCATATTTACAAAAAAAGATGCTCAAAGAACCAATGTCTGTAAGATTCAATGTCTTAGATCAAAGCTTATCTTGCTGGTTTGATTAGTGTAATCAAGTTCATCACTAATGAGGCAATTAACTGGAATGGTTTATGATTACAGCATGTCGTGTTTCTAAAATGCTCAAAGAAAACATCAAAGTTACACTGTTTCCAGCTAAATCACCAGGACAAAAAAATCATGTTCATAACAGTAACAGAGCTGCTGCCTGTCCCATTTTTTTCCACAAACCTCTTTCTGCTGCAAGGAGACATGCTGACAGACGTGGTATAGCAGCTTTAAAAGAAGTGAGGCTGTACTGGAAATAAAAAAGGAATTTCAAAATTTTAATATGAGTTGCTCTGAAATAATAGCACTGAATATTTGTAAGGGGGTCACAAATGCATCTGTATATTCAGATGATAAATGAGGTAATTAGCCTGACAGCATGATGCCTTTAATCTATTATTTTTTATTAGTAAAACGTTAAACATGTTGTTGGCACAAACAATGTCCTGGCTCTTCAGCTAATTAGGCCCAGAAGTAAATAAATAAAACTGATGAACTTCCTAAGAAGAAATCAAATCCAAATCAATTACAATGCATATGGTTTGTCTTAAAACGTATTCAAATGATACTGGAAGTCATTACTTGAGTAGCCTGAAATGCCCCTGAATCTATACTATTTATTTTAATATTTATTCTCCTGGGTGACTGTATGGAAATGAAAAGGCGTAGTAGTTAGGCTGGGTGCTCACACTCATGGAGGCCTGTGTTCCATGGCTCTGCATGTGGGGGGTCTGCATGCCCTCCGCACCCATGGCTCTGCATGTGGGGGGTCTGCATGCCCTCAGCACCCATGGCTCTGCATGTGGGGGCTCTGCATGCCCTCAGCACCCATAGCTTTGCATGTGGGGGGTTTGCATGCCCTCCGCACCCATGGCTCTGCATGTGGGGGGTCTGCATGCCCTCCGCACCCATGGCTTTGCATGTGGGGGGTTTGCATGCCCTCCGCACCCATGGCTCTGCATGTGGGGGGTTTGCATGCTCTCCGCACGGGGTCTCCTCCAGGACCTTGGGGTCCCCCCCTCTGCAGTCCAAAAACACGCCCAGGTGAACTCGAGTTACCAAATTGTGTGTCCACCCTGTGATGGGTTGGTGCCCCATCCTGAGTTATTAGTTTACAAAGGTTGAACTTTAAAACCCAGACTCCAGTTTTTTGCTCTCTGTGTATGAGCCCTTACTCGCTGCACCCATCCTGAGTTATTCCCTGCGTTGTGCCCTTACTGTAGCTTCTGGGACAGGCTCGGGACCTCCGTCACCCTGCATAGAATTTCGGAGTTCGTATGGAAAATAAGTAGATAAATCCAACAATCATCCCTTTTCCACATGCAAATATCAAATACAAGGTCACAGGGCACCTGGAGTTCACAGAAATCTTCAGCACCTCACTGGAGTCATGCCATGTGTCAGCATGCTTTAAGACCTCTACCATCATCTCTGTGCCAAAAAAACCTAAGATAACAGGACTAAATGATGACAGACTCATTGCTTTGACGCCTGTAGTTATGAAGTCCTTTGAGCGCCTCGTACTCCGCCACCTCAAAGCCACCACTGACCATCTGCTGGACCTCATGCAGTTTGCCTACAGAGCCAACAGATCTGCAGACGTTGCTGTCAACATGGCCCTGCACTTCATCCTCCAGCATCTCGACTCCGCAGGAACATACGCAAGAATCCTTTTCATGGATTTTAGCTCCGCCTTCAACACCATCATCCCAACCCTCCTGCACGACAAGCTCTCCTACCTACACGTACCCGACTCCACCTGCAGATGGATCACAGACTTCCTGACCAATAGGAAGCAACATGTGAAGATGGGGAAACATATTTCTATCTCCCAGACCATCAGCATGGGATCGCCGCAAGGCTGCGTCCTTTCTCCCCTCCTATTCTCCCTCTACACAAACAGCTGCACCTCCACCCACCTGTCTGTCAAGCTCCTGAAATTTGCAAATGAAACCACCCTCATTGGACTCATCTTTGATGGGGACGAGTCTGCCTACAGACAGGAGATTGATCACCTTGTGTCCTGGTGCAATGGGAATAACCTTGAGCTCAACACCCTGAAGACAGTGGAGATGATTGTGGACTTCAGGAAAAGCTCTGCCCCACCTCTACCCGTCTTCCTGCTCGGCTCACCAGTCACCGCTGTGGAGTACTTCTGCTTCCTGGGCACCACGATCAGCAAGGACCTTAAGTGGGAGATGAACATCTTTTCTCTCACCAAAAAAGCTCAACAGAGAATGTTCTTCCTGAGGCAGCTGAAGAAGTTCAGTCTGCCAAAGTCTATGATGGTGCACTTCTATTGGGACCAAAACATCACGCCATAGGAATAGTTTCTTCCCCAACATGGCCCGCCTCATCAATAAGGCCAGGAACACTCGCTCAAATACTATTTCCCCATCCTAGCACAAGCATGCACTCTCTTAAATATGTATATATTTCCACTGATGTATCATATTCCACATTCACTGACTATTTATATTAGTACCTGTACATACTCTATGTATATATATTTATATACTAACCACCTCATCTCTCGAAGTCTGGCACCAACCACCAAAGCAAATTCCTCGTATGTGTGAACGTACTTGGCAATAAACTCGATTCTGATTCTGATTCTGATTCTGATTCTGATTCTGAGTCAATGCCCGGAAGTTCACTGCACAATGATGTGGACACCATGAACAGAAAGACAGGCTATTCTATGTCATGCACAATAGCACATTATGGGCAATTTCACCTAATCAGGTTTTTTGGACTGTGAGAGGAAACCCACGCAAACATGATGCAAAAACTAAAGCCCTGTAATCTTTCAATAGTTTTAGGTCATTTCTCTTCTACTGAAGTACAAGACCCAGTGAAGTCAAATTTGATGGATGATTAGAAATAAGAACATTAACCAAGGAAAATGGTGGCATACAGACTGACATTGTTTCAGCTCCCAGAGGCTCTTAGACTCCCTAGGTGACCTCTCTGGATGTACTTTCATTGTAATTCTTCTTCCATCACTCTCTCCACATAGTGTAAAAATTCTATTAAGATTGTGAGCTCAAGTAAGGAAAAAAAAAACTGTTACCATGGAAACTGGCAAACGAACATTTACAGCAACCTTGTAACAAATGTCCTTTTGCTCCACTACAGAGTGGAGTTTTTCAGTTTTCAATGTCACTTCTTTGAAACAGAGACAGGTCTTTATAAAATCATAACTCAGAAAGACCTTGAAAATGAACAAAGAGACTTCCAAAACACTTTGACCTTTACAATACGCAAAAACAGTACTTTTTGCATTATTAAGGGTCCACGCACCAGCAGTGCTGGATCTCTATTGTTTTTGTACTTATTATTATCTATTTATTTATTTTCCAGTATAATCAGTATTACATGGTATAATCCTGCATCTGTTCATAATCAGAGTTGGTATCAGTTTTATCATTACTAATCTCCTATCTACCTTTATCATTACTAATGTCTATACCCAAATCTCAACTGACATGCTGATGATACCCTTAATCACATAATGTTATTTTATTATGTTGATGTTGACACTGAATCAGACTTGTCAGCTATGTAGATCAATATGTGAAGTGACATCAGAATTCCTCTTCAGCTTTTCATTGGCTAGCAATCACCATTGTAAATAAATGTTTTTACAGAATTCCCACCCCCTGATCTGAACCCAAAACACTCCGTAACAGACCCATATCCGCTCCCAGTACTGTCTGGGATTGTCTGGATTACTGGTCTCATAGTCGAAAATGTCTATGAAGATCAAAGTCATCAGCTGGTGATGAAACGGGGCGACCTGAAAACTTGCTTCCTCACTCAAATACCCTCACCTCCTTCCGGTACATAAAATCCAAATTGGAGTCGTCATTAGTATATAAGGAGAAATCCAACACAGCAACATAAGAATACAGATTCCCTTGTCCACATACAGCTATCAGAAAGACAAAGACGTCATGAATGTAAAGTTAGCCTTCATGCGCTCCTCTTTAAGTCAGCACCATATGGCATGACTGCTGCCTCCCTTCACAACTGATTCTCAGTTTCACAGATTCATCCACTTTTCAACTGCTTATCTAGTACAGGGTCATGGAGAGTCTGGATCCTATCCCAGCAGCGTTAGGCACTGAGCAGGAGAATGCTCTGAATGGGATGCCAGTCCACAACTGGGGACACACTATGGACAATGGATGCCAGTTCACTTAAGTGCATGTCTTTGGGCTGCAGGAGAAACCTAGAGGACACTACTGCAACATGGGAAGGACATGCAAATTTTTCATGCACAAAGTCCAAGCAAGATTCAAATTTCCAACCCCAGAGGTGCGTGACGGCAGTGTAAACCACTGAGCTACTCTGCTACCCTTAAAAACCATGCAAAAACAAACAAACAAACAAATATTACACTTTCATAGTTTCACTTCTGCATATTTGCCGTTTCACTAACTATGTATACGGCAAAATATTATTCGGTGTTCCAGTGTCAACTGACATAATGTTGTGCACCCCAGCCGCAATAATGTATGACTAAAATAAGCAATAAAAGTGCTCAATAAGTGTCCATTACTTGTGTGCAAAATTTGTAGCGACAGCATGAGCCCACAATGAATGGGATTGAAGATGATCCTCATCTCAGACAGTGAAATATTGCTCACTGACATCTGCCATCTTAATGGGAAGATGACATTCACAGGTAACCCAGCATATTCTAACTGAAATGAACTACAAGCCACTTTCAGATACCATCTACTGCTCTGACTCCATGCCAGTCCTAACAAGAACCCTAAGTTAAATTCCTTGACAAATATGCTACACTCTTTACCTCGTTATGTTTGGTGCTTTACAGTATGTGTACATGCACTGTACACATAATGGGCATGGAAGAAATCTAGATGTTAAGGTTTTGACTAAGTTCCAGTTTATTCACGAAAGCTTCTTTTTGTTGGGCAGGCTAAACATATCTAAAGGCTGGGTCTATAAAATGGTCACTTTAATTGCCCTTAATCATTTTAAATGCCTGAACTTTAGAGTCATTACTTCTGTAATTTTGGAGCAAACCCTTTTCCAGGGAAAGGGCGTCAAACACGGACAAAAAGCAGGATGGCGAGATTACATAAAGCAAATGTCCAGTGAATCTCCAAAGAGCTAAATCAACCTTTGGCAAGATATGCTGAAAAGGCCACTCAAATATGCATTTCAACTTTCTTCCAGCAACTTTGGCACCTCAAAGATGGCAGCGAGGTTGTGCAAGCATCTAAAAATTCTCTGAGGGAGTCAGCTCCATTCCAAAGGGGCTTTGAAGTCTATGGAGGACAGAGACAGCGATGAAACACATCTTTAAGGGATCTGCATGTCTCGTTGTCACTCTGAGTCTGTTACCGAATTATTAAAAAAAAATGTGCAAATGCTATTTTGAGAATGATGGATACATTTAGAAACAGAATATCATACTGGTATTTTGTTACTGTTTTTTTACTCCACAATATTGCTTGACTCTGCTATCAGAAATATGCTCGCCTTAACTACACTATTTTAAACCCTCCGAGAGAAGTGCTGAGAAAATTCATGTCAAAACACGACACTGTCAATTTACAGCTGCTGAATTTGTAAATGGATTTCAGGATGATTTCTTCTCATAACCTGTTTGGTATAAACCACAAACTATAACAATAGCTTTTTTCATCTCTTTTTTCCTCTGTCAAATAGTTGTATGTAATCTCACGCTTGTCCCCCTCTAAGATGGAGTTCCTTAAATAGACTTCGAACAGAATAGTCATGTTTGTGATACCCTTGGTAAATTTATTATTACTTTTATTTCGGTGTGGTTTATCATTGTAGTCTCCTCTCTTATCAAAGTAAATTAAACATGATAAAATCAAGGAGTTACCTTCATCGAGTCCGAGGGAACAATGCAAACACGTAAGTTCTCTTGACTTTATCCACAGAAAGATAGTCTCGTGTGTTTTTAGACATTATTATTTAATGTTATGATCGATCTATAATTTTATCAATTGTCCCACCCAGTTTCTAAGGCTTGGCAATTGTTTTCTGAGATTTAAATAGGCAAGAATTTTAAATGAAGCATGTATTCTTATTATTATCGGTTGGTGGAATATTATAGTACTTTATTATTATTATATAGTATCATAGTTCCATTCAACACCCGGTGCCAGATCTGATGGGAAATAACAGTGGAAAGAGTACACCGAGTTCCGCTGCTCCTGCACGGCACCGTATCACCCCTTTAGGACCCACAAAATTTCATCTTTGCGTTAAAACACTATAATAATCTCTGACTGACAGACAGTACAGTGCCCTCTTACCTTCGGAAAAAGAAAATCCCTGTTACTCTTCTGAAACGTGAGAGGGGAAATGCGCGGAAACCTAAGGCTGTATTAAAATGCAATAGGAAACTACAAATCTTGTCCAAACAGCAGTGTTTCGTTACAAACGTAGCTGAACAGCCCTAGATAAACTGAAAGAACGGCTGAAAACGGCTCTTTAGTATTTGATCTTCTTTGTTTTGTTAAAAAGACGACATATAAAGGAAGAGTATTATCTCCTATTCTTTTCCACGCTTCCTTTAAGGATTGCCCGGAAAGATCTGCTCCTACCGGCTTTCCTCCTTCCGATTTCGGGATCAAAAAGGCCTTAATATTTTAGGTGCTATGTGTAATTCCTCCAAATCGGCCGTAAGCGTTTCTCCTTTTATCCCTCCCCTACGTTCACACTGTACGGAATAAAACGTTTCCTGCTTTAAACGGCCGGCAGTCCTTGTCCTCCCTCCATCTGCCTCGGACTGCTAATAACAGGTCTGACTGCTGTTAACAGCATTATATAAATATATAATTCTGAATATTTATTATATATATATATAATAAATATTAATTCACAGTGACATCACGAGAACACCAAGAGTGAGCTGGGAAACGTAGTTATATAACTGAGGCTACTAGCTCGTAAGCATTTTTGACCACCGTCTCCTAAAAGGTAATTTCATTCCAATTTCATTCCAATCCAAGAGAGACGGAGTAACAAATACGACCAGATACGTCTTCGGTCGCAGGATAAGCGGCTGTAGGATAGACAGAGTGTTTGGTATCAACCATAACCCGATCACAAGCACCTCAGCAAACACATAATTATTACGCAGATAGCCTACATTATATCCCAGGATTACCTCAGGAGAATAAATCATGCCAAAAGCAAATTTATATGCGAGTATTATTTTATTTTATATATTTTTAGTACAGTGGCAGGCACAGGGAACAGGACAGCCTGGAATCCTTATTCCAGGACAGCCTTATTACCTTCATTCACAGCTTCAAATGCTGAATAATCTCTAACCAAGAGCATGAGCAGCACGAGAAGTCACGAGAATGAGAAAATTAAACAACATTCACAGTATGTCTTTTGCTACTGCAATGTTTTATTTTAAATCTAACACGGGCCATTTAAAAAAGGTATAAAATATATTCTTCGGAAACATGATCTGTAGACAAATCGCTAATGCAATAATCATAACACAAGTAAAAATATGTTTAATATTTGTTTGTAAGCTCAAAACGTAACAGCACAATGATGCTTAACAGAGACCCACAGTCATAAAATACGGTTTTTATAGATGTAGCGTGCTTTGCGGTTGCCGTTGCGGAGCAACAAAGACGGCCGGTGCTGTTAGGTTTACAAATGCACTCGCTACAGTGGATGGGATCAGGGTTTGTACTGCATCTGCGGCTCTCATTTGTAGCCTAGGTTTCGGTGCAGACATCTCGCTGTTTCCAGTATGGCAGCAGCCTCATGTCTATAAATGTCAATACTCAGAGCTACAGATCCAAAGCTGCCTTTCTTGTGGTGTTAGACCAACAAATCTGGAACTAAAATGAGGAGGAAAAGTAACCAGAAAGACACTTCTTGCTCAACCCTACAAATCATCTTCAGTATAAAAAAATACTTAATCTTTATACAATAGTCGGCAGTTGTTATTTTCTGTCTGACCCTTGTAACAAAGAAGAGGGAAAATGCCGCCCTAGTTCTGGCACCAAAAGGCCGCTTACTAGAGAACCCAGAAAAAAATAATGTGTCGGTGAGGAGATCCACGAGCAGCACTTCTGCCCGTTTTCGCTACTTATGGAAAAGTCATGCAAATGGCTTGGAATGGGAGGGAGAAGCCACGTGTAGAAACATACAGATGAATCAGGCAAACAAAACGTGAAGGAAGAGGGCAGGAGACATTCAAACAGCAGCACGGGAGGCCACTGGCGACTCTCAGCACCAGCCGATCATCACCTCACTCCTCCCTAGAAGCTCTCAGACAATACACAGCATAAACAATAAGACAGCAGGTATCTTGGATGCTGCCACGGATCTGCACACGCCACAGACAGCAAATCACCTACGCGTACTCTATCAAACTTACCATATGCTACAACCTGAGAACTTCTACGATTATTTGTAGCGAGATCTTGCATGTATTAGTGCATAGCTCTCCAGCAGTTTTGGGACCATACACGGCCGGTATGTATAGCAGCTGGACGCAGACGAGGAAGCAGGAAGCGCCATTCAATCTAAGAGTCGGCAATGGGGAATACCCCAACGGTCTGGCATTTAGTAATAAAATTAATAATAATACAAAAATTAAATATAAGATCACCCACTTTCCTTATGGTTCTCTGGACATGAGAACGAGAAAAAAAACCTGGGTGACAAACTGATGAAGACCAGTAAAAAAAAAATCCAGAAGCAAGCATTAAAAAAAAGAAAATAAGATCAACCATAAAGTTGGACCATGTTCCATTAAGTTAGAACAACAGGGTTGCAAAACAACAATAAACATGATAAAAAATATTATTTAAAAACATAGAAGGTACATAATCCCCCCGCCCTTTCTGAAGACATCCTTTTGAGAACTGTAAGCCCACCAGATTAATATGACAGCCGAACAGTGACAACAACCAGATGCTACTGTAGAACCAGGACAGAACTGGGAGCTCATGGGCTTTGCCTCATATCTTGACATGTTCCCCGTCTTCTCACAAGGCCTTCACTTCAGGATGACATGGTACCCTTCGTTATTCTCGGCTGCGAAGAGAACGTACAAGACTTTTGAAACCACAATTGTCTTCGGGATGCTGAAGACACTTCGGGATGCTGAAGCTGTGGTCATCCAGGCGGAAGTACCGTCTGCCGTTACCTTTCATCGTGTCCAGGACAAAACACGACTCATCTGGGAAGTTCAGTATCATCTGCGAGGGACGTAATGGACGTTAGAATGATGCTTCCTGCTCGGCTGCCACACTGCATGCGACTGGGTGACCGCGCATTCAAGGAGCCTGTGTAGAACACATCAGTGACTCACCTCATCGCTGACCAGAACATGGATTCCCGTTGGGCCCTGCTTGTAAATCTGACTGATCTGTCTCGGCGAGATGTTGAAAAGCTGGGCTATCTTCTCCGCCAGCTCGATGGCCGACAGTTCTTCCAAGTAAACAGCGTGGTACACTGAGGGGCAGGCAGACACCATTTATTCCCTTTAACGCCCCCAACTTACTTTGTAAGCTAAACACCATCCAAATTCCAGTTCCATAAAATGGCCCCAGAAGACAAAAGAAATTTTTCCAATTATGCAAATTCCACAGGCTGCAGAGTTCTAGGTACTGACCGTAGAAGGTTCCATTTGTGCTGCTGCTCCCATCTCCGTTCTCGTGCTTCTGCTGCTGATCCCCTGCCTGCTGCGACTCCTGGCACACGTATATGGTGAGCCGGGGACGCACAACCCTACACACACATACGGAGAACACCTAGGGGTCATGTTCCTGCCCCATTAGTCCACGTAATGCAGTCATGCTCACTAACAACCCCCATGAAAACAGTAAGGTAATCTAAGTTGAAGATTAGTTACTTGGTCCTGTAAAGCCAGGTAGGAAAGACAAGGGGGAGAGGCACCGCAAGCATGTCTTGGTCATAAAGACGGGCATCACTAACCGGCCCTTCAGCGCATTGAAGAGTCGGATTCCATCTGCAGGGCCACAGATCTGAATGACATCTTCCCGCGTCAGTTTCAGCATGTCGGCTCCTGGAAACACCAAGGAACGCTAACACGACTGAGTCACAGCACTCTGATGAAGTGGATGTCCATTCATCTTCTAACTTCTTATCTTGGACAAGGTTGGGGGCGGGGTTAGGGTTGGGGAGGGGGCTGGAGCCCATCACAGGCAGACCCACGACTGCATAACACATAGTGATTCCACGGGACACCGACCCACCACTTTAGGGAAAGTTTGTTTTTCTCCCAAAATGTGCCTGCAGGTTTAGGGAGACACGCAGAATCATACGTGCACACTTTCAACTCACCTGAAAAGTTGGTGAAGAGCCGACAGAAGGGTGAGAAGCGGTTTCGGAGCAGCCATTGCTGGGCCTCCTGAGGCGTGGCAGTGGGCAGAAGGTTCTAGCATTCCACACAGGGGATGGACAAAGAGGCACGGTGACCTTGGGGACGACACTTCACCCCTGGACCATACTACTGTACTTCACTGCATAATATGGTAATTTCTACAATTAATCTCTGGTTTCCATCAGGATTAAGAAAGTATCCATCCATCAACCTTCAACACTCAATCCGTCCAAATGATTACTCTTGGGTCCTGGAGGCCAAATATCACACATCTTTGCTATATTCTGTAAATATCCCTAAACCCTCAGGCCTGGGATGCACTGGATGTGTGGCGTGTGCGTCGCAACTGCGCAAAGTATTGATTTTCACTTCGGTGCCCTTATTAACAGACCAGAGCAGCCAAGCTGTCTACAAGAAGCGCGGCTCACGCCTAGCGCAGCGGCGCCTTGTTATGGAGTCGGTGTGGCGCCTCTTTTTCACGCGTGGGGTAAGCGGTTCTTATCAGAAATAGTCAGTAGTAAGATCTGTTGATAGTCATACTGATATACCTAGCAAAAATACATAACTGACACCTTTCACTATAGTTTCAATGTTTAGGATACGTATCGTAGACATGAAAAATATAAAGATTAGTTATATTAACCATTTTAGCAATTGCATGTTATTAAAGGAGAAAGTGGAAGTTCAACATGTACTATATAGTCAGAGCAGAAACTCCAGTATAGGCTATAATTATATTAAATAATTAAATAATAAATAAAAATCACAAAAAAAATTACAGCGATTGCTGCATATTATTTATAATAGTGATTAACCGTTATTACTATTATTGTTATTATTACTATTACTACAACTGAGCATACACTTCTTAGGCTTTGTCTAAAATAAATATAAATTAAATTTATAATGAACTGAAATCACACTTTCTATATTATTGATGGCCATTATCAAAGGTAAGTGTGCAGGCAGTGTGCTCCGGGCCTAACCCTACATTTTTAACAGAACTGTAATGGTCAAGATACATTTGTTTTTCTGTTCAACATCATCGAGAACTGTTAGTGAGTGCTGTCCCTATGACCATTCTGTTTAATATTATGGGGGAATTTTTTTTGTAGGTCTGGATTGACTAACTGTCAGGTAGTGGCTAACTAAGCAATGATCAGCAAAATAAACAGCAGGAGATGGTCCATATCTTAAGTACTCACATCTGTCTGTGGCACGACAGGCTCAGGCTGGTGGCTGGGGGAGTCATTGCTGGAGAATGACAAAACAGAGCTGTCATTAATGTCATCTTCACTGCCCCTTACTGAATCCAGTGCAAGTAAGTTTAAGAACTACCACATGCCAAAGTTTGCCATCATGCAAGTGTGCATATGATCTCAACATGGTGCACTTCAGGCAGCTGAACCTACCCCTCTGCCACTGGAAAGTTGTTGTGGGTGTTGTTGAAGACAGGGGGCTGTGAGTTGTTGACATATGTAATCTCTGGCCATGGAGAACACTGGAAGTCAAAAATATATAGTATTTATAGTATAGTTTAATTAATTACAGACAGACATGGAGTATTATGCATGCTCTACAAAGGGATGGGGGGGGTCTTAGTAAAGCTGATGAATCTTGAGAAGGTTTCTGCCTTGCTGTCATGACAGTCACACCTCAGTGAGGATTGTGGTCTCATAAGCCGGCTGGTATTTCTCCTTCTCCTGTGGGGCCCTCTTCTCCATCTTCTCCCGATCGGTCTTCTGCTTTCTGTCAGCACCTTTGGGCTGCAAACAAGGCAGGAAAACGGTCACAGAACCGCTGGGTGAAACTGCACACCACTCTTTGCCTTCAGCTGAGCCGAACACCCGCCGGCTCGCTCACCTTGAACACTTTGACTTGGCAGCTGGCAGAATGAAGGTGTTCGGTGTATTCCTCGCCCTCGTTCTCCTTGAATGTGTCGATCTGGATTCGGAATGGGACTCCCTTCTCTCCGCCGTGTTTACGCATGGTAAACTCTGTACTAATGCAGTGCACCTGCGTGTAGCCACAAATAAAACATTTTTTAAAAAGCCATCAAGAGCCATTTACGAAGGCGGCATTGACATAGACCTCGATGGAACAGCAAAGAAACAGCATTTGCAGACCCTGTACCACTGCGACAGGACAGGTCTCAGTACCTGGATGAAAACGGACGTCCTCTTGGAAGGGTCCCAAAGGAACTCTACAGTGTTCAGCTGTGTAGGGTTGCTTCTTGCATCGGTCATGCCAACAGACATAGGAACATCTGCAGAGAACCAGGCAGACCCGCTCACTTTTCTCTACATCCGTACATGCCCATGCCTGCCAACAGTCTAACGCAGACCTTCGCCCACCCAGGCTTGGCCCACCTAGGTCAAGAATGCGATCCCCCGGGCGGTTCCAGCGCCATCCTTCTAACTGCTGGTGTTCCGTGTACTGAAGGCGTCGGTCGTGAAAGACCACACGAATGATGCTCTGAAGTCACAGACATCACACAACAGCCAGAAGCTCAATTTACCCAAAGGATGCACTGCTGAACAACAGCACCTCTCACAGAAGTACCCAGGTTTAAGACAGATCAATTAGAGTAAGAATACACCATTAAGTTGAATCTCAGCTTTGATTAGACTAAAAACATCATAGAAAACAATGTTACAGGACATTAATACCTTCTATATATGTCACTTCTGTAAGACATTATAATGAATTCCAATCTTACTGAGCGTTTTATTTAAATCAGAAATCAATAATCACTATCTTTCTTATTATGTCATCTCTTCTGTACTTTACATAGGTATTATAATTTTCTGTATGTCATTGTGTAACACCTATGTGAGAAAGGGAGATTAAATTATGGTTCCAATTATAGTTAGGGTTAACCAACAGCTAATTCATTATTACTCGTGAATGAGCGTATAATAATTTTCAAAACATCAAGTTTGTACTTTCATTTGCACAGAAAAAGTAAGCTAATGTCAGGCAAACACCTACTTTGACCATCTTTCCTGTGATTTCAGGGAGTTCTCCCACCTTCCGGTTATCCAGCATTCGGATTTCATAGGACTGTCCTATAAACAAAACAGGCAAACTTCACAGCCAGTACATAATACAAATCACAAGCTAAAGAGGACATTAAATTTAACTTCCAAAAAACTGTGCCTCCTCAGAGACTATAACAAGTTTTTATAAAGCACATTTAACTATACAGGCAGCCCCCGATTACGACGAGATCCACTGTGAGTGAGTTTTTAAGTTGAATTTGCAGGAAAGTCAGAAGAGGTAGATACAAGTCTGATTTAGCATTAGTATACAGTATATATTTACTGTACTGCCCCTCGAGCCGACAAACCACTGAAGCCATGCAATGTAATCATGAATGCTGCAAAGAAGTACATGCCTTCGTTATTACGAACCTTTGTATTTAGCTCAAATTTTTGATATAACAGGCTTTATGACAGTTCGTTAAGTACGAGTTGTCCCTAAGTCGGATGTTCTTAACCTGGGGTCTGCCTGTAATTAATTCTCCAGAGCCTTCAGACATAACAGAGCTGTGTGTGGGACTGATGCAATACAAAAAAAGACTACCAAGGAAGTGATTAGAACAGCAGAGCACAGTGACCTTGGTTAAGGTAGGTGAGAGTCTCCTCATGCAGCTTGACAGCAGGGGAGGTGGCGGCACACAGAACATACTGGAAGGGTGGGATCTTGTTTTCACTGTCAGGGGGCAAATTTGATTCTTCTTGCTTGAAGATGGGGAGGGCCAGCACATCACTGCAGGGTTCAGGGAAGAGAGACAGAAAGAATTAATGAGGGAACTGACAGCCAGCACTTGATGATCTGGTAAGGTTAGCTGGAGTAAGTCCAAGGCAACACACACAGAATATAAGAGTAAGTAAACCAGAAGGAAACTCAATAAACAACCAGTTTGAAGAGTAAAATGGTTTTGTACCCAATTCTCTTCCAGAGAACAGCTACTCAAAGACCAATCTATAAACATGTATTCACCATTATGGACAGCATGGGACAATGTTATTCTTAGGGATTGAACTTCCTACTCTAATAACAAAATGAGCATGAATTGTTAAAAGGTGTATTTGTTAAGTCCTATAATTAAAATATATAAATACATTTTATCCATTCATTTCCAAAAAGTCTTAAAAAAAATTTGGCTTCAAACTTTTCAAGCATTAACTGTTCAGTACTTACAACTTCTTCTCTGCATACAGCCAACTACACATCCACGCTTCACTTCATATAAACATGCATTGATGCAACCATGACAGCAAGCAAAACTGCTTTAATTTCAAATATACAAAGATTTACCGGCCTATGAATCCCACCTAAAAAGGTAATGCACAACATCATTTAATTATTCACATAATCTCGATATGCTTAAGAAAATGACCTGACAATTTTCCTGTTACTTGCTTGGAATCACTGACAATATAGCTTGGTAATAGGTATTCTGGCGTCCCATCTGCGATGTGTCCTGCCTTGTGCCCTATGCCTCCTGAGATAAGTACCAGGTTCCCCGATAACCGTGTCCAGCATAAATACTTAGAAAGAAAAAGGAGGTATGCATGCAGAGTCTTGCTCTTTCAGCTCCTTTTAAAGCCTATAAACTCACTTCCATTAGTACGGTGGTCAGGGGTTTTTCCATCAAGTACCAGGAGGGGCCCAATAATAGAATGCTTTAGCCAGGTTTTTACCTGAATCGTCCAAGTAAAATTATCAGCCGCAAAAGGCGTAAACATCAGACTGACTTGAATACATGCCTCAACTTGATCCAATTAATCCAAGCAGCTTCTATACATCTACAATCCCAGCAAACATACCTAGACAGTATAAAACAAATTAAAGTAGTACACTTAAAATGCAGTGCTCATCTGATGAACCTTATGCATAATGTTTCATTTCAGGCATACGTGCAACTTTGACTACAACTGAGCAAAATTAATTTTTTTTAAAAAAGACTACACTACATTCCAATCTGCAAACTAAGCGACCTCAAACTGTCAGATCATCCACTACTAATTCAATGCATCAACAGCCCTCTTAAACAAACATCCTTACCTCATGCTATATGCTCCGGCTCCAAGTTCTTGCCCAATTCCAGAAAGACTTGCATCAAAGTCCTGGGCCAGACCCGATTCGATGACTTCATCTGCAAGCGGTAATTTCAGAGCCCACGCCATGACACACGGTGTCGGGCGAAACTTCAAAGGTCCAGAAAAATCAAGGACGCCTCTCTAGAATAAAATCAACCATATGTTAGTCACCAAAGGAATAATCAGAATCACATCATGCTTGAAAAGAATGTCCAAAAGGAAATATCTTCGTTTCCATAGTTACAACTAAAACAACAACAAACAGTTCAGTATTTGTTATATTTTAGCAGTAGCAGTAACAACAACCCTAAAAACAATAGTATAATTTATATATTTTCGTATTATAAACTACCTTATAAACATAAATGATATAAAAAAATGTTGGGTATCGCAATTACTGAATGTCTTATGTAGTGTGTAACATGTCAACATGAAAAACTGTCTGACAACTCTCCAAAACAAGGTAGTATATAACATAAGAAATTTACTGGGGAATATAAATTACCTTGCCGGCAGAGAACTTGCATCTGATAGTTCTGGAAGTATCCGCAAGATCGCCTTTATGTCAGAAGCTGGCTGGAAGTACAGATGCGTCCGTAATCCTGGTGGGTACGGCCAAAATATCTCAACCAGCTATCGTTCTAGCTCGTTACAAAGCACAAACGGTAAATCTGCTATCCACTCGATCTTAAAACTCGCACAGCCATGTCAGCCGGCTGAGCATCTTTGCTCCAGCGTGATGTCCATGCAGTCACCTTTATGGTATTTTTTACAACATCGTCTTCGTCAGACTGCTTGCCACTTTGGGATCACGATCCACTGCAACTTCTGGCGGCCGATGCCCTAAGCAAACTAAAAAACACATGCAGCTTATACTAAACCAAGTATATTTTGAGAAGGGGTTCGAGGTTCGATATTTGTAACTGTTTCCTACAATTTTTTAGGAATACCCAAAGCTTATCAGGAAGTAGCTACTTACCTGGCACATGTGACATAAACGCTAAGGATACGCCCACTTTGCTTTGATGGATGGCTGTCCGCACCATTCACACGAAGGCAGCCGGAATTTCGTAACGCCGCCAACCAATCGCTTGTCAGATCGTAAAGGAACAAGAAGAAACAAGGGCTGAAAAGTTCTCGGAAGGCATTGCGTGAATTTAAATAACTCCCAACTCTGGTGTTTTTTAATAGAACTGATATCCAGCTGATTACAACCAAATCCACTCGACGCGTACCTAAACTACACTTCCTAAACTTTTAAAAGCAAAATCCCTTTAGTATGCAGTTTTTTGAAGACCCTCCACCCAAAAATGACGCATTAATGTCGACCCCCCCCAAGTTTGCGTCCCATCTGGGGGTTGTGGCAAAGCTTATGAAACATTAGGTGACCTTTTCTTATACTGATACATATTACCGCTAATTTCTAATAGACTTGCAAAGAAAAGGCGTCGCAACATTATTCCATGTTCGTAACTTATCAGTTAAAAAGTTGGGTTAAGTCCTCTCATGCTTCCAGATCGACATCTGTAGTTAATATTTACATTTCTTTATATATAGCAGCGTACAAATTAGATAGATAATACATTAAAATAAATGAAGATTCAAAACAGATCAGAATGGTCTGGGAAACCGTCTGGAATCCTTAGACGTCGAGGTGCGTCTGAATTAAGGATGAAATACTGTTTGAGGTAACGTGGATGTACAGCCTTTGTCAGATCGTGTGTCATGCTGAAGATTGCAGATGACGAACCTGGGACAGTAGTCATTGCATTGATTGCGTTTGCCAGTCATGATGACAGTAACAACTTTACACCCATTGCTTCTATTTACTTACAGTTGCTTACATGTGTCATAGACAGAAGGACAGTGTTGGTGTGATGTAAAGTGAGGGGCTACTGTAAAATGGGGGGGGGGATTTCGAAGTGAAAGTATGTGTGTTACATCATCACTACTGTTGTACTATGATATAATTATGCTATTTAAACTGATCCTGCGACTGGTGTATTTTCCCAGTGAATAGTGTGAGAAGTCAAGGACCTTCCCTTCAGTCAACTATTGGAGACATTTCACCCACTGGAGAATTTCTGCTTCAAGAATAGGTGTATTGGAGAAACTGCAGATGGCAACCCTGCTGGATAAAGGAAGCATAAACGAAAATATAGAATTGAGCACTCTCAGAGAGATGGAAAACATTCCCGGTGGGTTTGATCATGAAGAAGGGGAAGATATGGACTATGATATAGTCATGGCCAAGTTTACCCAATGCCTGAGTTATTTCAAAGCATTATTGTCTGAATAGCACAGCTTCAAGTGATGAAGAGTCAGCAGTATTAATTAATATAGGTCGTACACTAGTGAAATGTAAATTACAAACGGGGTGATGTGTATTATTAGTGAAAACATATTAAAAATGCTAAAACAGTGAAATGCTCATCTGGTCTAAGGTTATACTAAGGGCTCAGGTAGCCATCTGAAGTGTATTCACAGTACACACAGTATACAACACAATAATTATTCTTTTAAAGTGTTTGTTGTCAAAGAGGGAAGCATGAACGATCAGGACCAGTAGCTCAGGCAATGGGTTTAGTGAAAAAGCTTTTTGATATCATCAGCACCAAAAGATGGTGCAGGAGAAGGTACAACCCTACAGTGTCCACAGTGTATGTGGAATTCCCATTCCACAAGGAGCCGGAGAGGATGGAAGCCAGTGGAATTGCAGAGAAACTGACCAAGCCTATGGAGTGGTGGACCACCATGGTGTCCATCCCAAAGGAATCAGGCAAGGTGCAGACTATTCACATCTCAAACAGCTGAATAAAGCAATTAACGGGAAGCAATTCATCCTGACAGCAGCAGAGGAAATCGTCACTGGACTAAGAAGCTCCATTGTATTCCCATTATTGGATGCAGTGGCAGGTTTCTGTCAAATTCCACTCAACAACGGCTGTCAGAAAAATTATCACTCGAACTACCAGATATTCTCTGAAGATAAATCTAGAAACACTGGAAGGCCTATAAAGGTTGGTTGTCCCTATGGATGACAGTATAGTCTATGGCTGGGACATAGCTGAGCATGACCAGTATCAGGAAGACAAACTCAGAGAACCACTGCTTCCTGCACCCCTTCTTGCCTTTTCAGGGAGACAAAACATGTACCTGGTCATCTCTGATTATTCTAGGTATTTGGAACAACTGCTCATTCCCACAGTGCTCATGTGGCAACACAAATAAAGGTATTTTTGCCAGGTACTGGATAGCATAGTTAGTTGTTAGTGATAATGATCAAGCTTTCCGGCTTTTAAGTAATAAATAACATTCTTCATCAAGCCCACAGAATCCTCTACTAGATAAGTACTTTGGCAGTAATGACAGGTTAAGTGAAAGGTTGGATTCTTTATCAGATGAGAAAGAAAAGCTATCCATCTAAGTAGTCCAGTGTTTATAATATCCCAGCAAATATCAGCCAAACGTAGGTGTATTTCTGGGCAGCGATTAATGCATTCTGCCAAGAAAAATCAATGTTAGGTCCCTAGTCTGACTCATCTGCGCTACGAACAGGAAGTTCTGGTACCGCAGGAATATAAAGAACATAGAGTGCCTGTATGCAGGCAGTACAAAAGACAGGCTAGATAGGTAGTTTATAGATAGACGTGATTTAGCTTACTCTATGTGGAATACTGTCCAAATAACTGGTAAGGACCTGTTGATGGTCGAAGGCATTGAATAGCTTTATGTTCACTGTATCTAGCTCTCTTGACCAACTGATTCACTTGTCCTTTGTGATGATGCTCCCCCAGAAGGACACAACATTGTAAATTATGCTGTCTATTATGGACTAGTAGAACATACCCAGTAGTTTACTGCACACATTGAAAGACTACTGCACTCTTAAAGAGAATGGCTTGTTCTGGCTGTTTTGTACAGGACATCTGTGTTGTCCATCCAGTCCAATCTGTTATTTAAGTGGACCTCCAAGGTGTCTGATCAATGGTAGTCCTTGATCTAAGACCCTACAGAGGCATCAGCTTACATCTCATTGAGTTTATTCCCTAGTCAAAGAGCCTGGTTGGAGAGACCTGGAAATGGCTGTGCACCAACGCTCCCCATCCAACCTGGTTGAGCTTGAACAATTCTTCCAATAGGAAGGTGTGGCACACCTGGAGGGTCATCCACAAAAAGACGTCAGGCTGTCATTGCTGCCTGAAGTCATTTCATTAAGTATTAAGTGAAGGGTCTGAATACTTATGTAAATGGGCTATTTCAGCTTTTTATTTTTAATAAATTGAAAAAACACTCCAAAAACCTGTTTACGCTTTGTCATTGTGGAGTAGTTTGTAGGCTGATTATTAAAAAGAGAATTGAATCCATTTTTAGATGAGTCTGAAACATAGAATGGGGACAGGTTGAAAGGTTCTGAAATCTGTATGCACTGTATGTGCCTGGCAGGCATACTGCAGAGGGTTCAGGTGGTTTTTGACTAAAGTTCTGAGCTGTTTAAGTACCAGCCTTTTTAAGGTTTTAATAATTAAATCTATTATGCTTTCAGCACCCTTTGACTGTGTTCATTTGGGGGCATGCCTTTCTCGTGGAGCTACCCAAGTTATATCCATGCCTGGTCCACAGTGATGCAAAATCACCAGTTGGGCCTGCTATCTCAGGAGTGATGTATTCAAGGGCACAACGGAGAGGAGAGAAAGGAGGGAGGCAGGGCAGTGAAGGGGCTGAAGCCCATCCATCTAGCACTTTGGACTTGGAAGTGCTAAGGCAGGATTTGGCTGATAAGCAGGTGTCAAATCTGCTACAGAAAACAATTAACTCATTGACTATTGTCCAAGTTCCTCTCCAACTTCTGGTTACTGGTCTTCTTGTAGCCAGTAGCTTGCTTCATTTTTCTCTACACCTCCTTCTACTTGTTCTATTGAAGCTTGTGCTCCACCTAGTCCTTTGTTATGTTACTTTTGGTGAATTCCTGTGTTTTCCTGTGGACTACTACAGTAGCATAAATGGCATTCCTTTTTGAGCTGAGATTTGGCTGGTTGGTCTGATTTGGATTTTGAACTGGTCAATCAATACTTAAAACATCACACTGGCAGGTGTTTGAAAGGTAATATATTTTAAACAAAAATGTCAATGTTTAAGACATAAATTACATATCCATGTAGACATATGGTTATATGACATATGAATATGCTACCAAATTAATCAATTATTTGATAATTTGGTGTATGATATATAAAGTTTGTTTATAACGACTGCCAGTATTTTTTTTTTAATTCCTCAGAAGGATTGAGCTTGGACAAAAAGTACAATATGTACTTTCCACACTGTTAGCTATGTTCTGGATAAAAAAACTTTCCTTACCTGTGCCTTTGCTTTCTTACAAAAAGAAGTTGAACTTTCAAGAAAATAAACACCAGCAGTGGAGTCGGTGGCTGTGCTCTTTCAGAAAAAAAGAGTACCAATTGTCACTCGGGGTATACAATCAAAATGTAAATGTACTTTTCATAATACAGAAATACATAATATATTTTTCTACCATTGGGGCTACATCAATGTTGTTTGTACCTTGGGGATGTTCCTCAGAGTCCATTTCTGTACCTTAAATAAGACTAAGAGGTACATCTACCTACAGCTATGGTACAATTTCTGCCTTGTTCTGGCTGTTTTTGTACAGGACATCTGTGTTGTCCATCCAGTCCAATGCCTGTTCAGTGGTAGTCCTTGATCCAGGACCCTATAGAGGCATCAGCTTACATCTTCTTGAGCTTATTCCCTAGTCAGGAGCCTGGTTGAAGAGACCTGGAAATGACTGTGCATTGACGCTCCCCATCCAACCTTGATGGTACTGCCCCAGTGACAAACAAAGGTACATATTGGTACTCATTTTGATGTGATAGTGTGGAATTAATTCAAGCTGCTAACTCACTGTCAAACTATGTAAAGGGACGTGTAGTGACAGAACAGAGTGTTTAAACATAAATAAAGGGTGTTTTGTTCATTGACATACTTTTGAGGAATGATTCATACTCTCTCACATCTCATCTGTTGTTTTCATACTTTACATTGTACTACAAGATAGTCTGAGCTCCTTGGGATGTGATCTGTTAGGTTTAATTTGCATTTCCTTTTGGTATGTTGAACAGTGTGCACGATTACAAAGTATTTTCTCCTCTCGTCCCACTATTCTGAGAATACTTCTAGGTGCATGAGCCATAGTGCCTGTACAATGAGACAGTAGAAGACAGTACTGGATGCAAGAGAGAAAGGTAGTGAGAGGAAGAAACACCGGCAAAGACAGGAAAAGAAAACAGGAATCAAATGGAAAACAAAGCTGTAAGCAGGTATAAAAGGAAAAGTTTACAAATCTGTACTGATAACCACTATTTCTGCAACAGAAAATATATATAGTGAAACCTTCATACAATACCTTATTCATGTTGAAATATTATTTACAATGGTGTTCCCCTCGCAAGGAAATGTCTGTGTTGAAGCAACATACATTTTAAACATTGTCGAAGAATATTAGAGCGGATCTCACATTTAGTTTGCATAAAGCCGTCACAATAAAAAGGAACAGAAAGTAACGAAATACTATATACACAACTGGCAGAATCACGCGAACGGGGCGTGGCAGTGACGCATATCTCGCGCAGTCTCGAGGCGAATCGCAAACAAGGAAGTAACGCACACAGGAAGGGCAGCAGTTCCGCACTGGGGGTTAAAAAAATCATCGGTGGTTACTAATAAATCCCGAGGCCTGAATAAATATTCGGTTCTTCTGCGTTATTTGCCATCCCTTTCTCTACGTTTACACGGACTTCAAGATCATGAACAACAAAGGTATGATGACGACCACCGTTTTTATGCGATAATATTTCGACTAAGATCGGATTGGGGCTTTCTGCGTGCTATAAAGACGGACATGTCCGTTTGTGTCCGTCGGGTTCCGGCCCCCGGCCCCCGTTGAGCATAAATTTAACGATAGCGGGCTCTGTTCTGGTGGTTTCGCGCTACGCTGACTGTTGTAGCTGCATTACTAGCTAGCTAACAAAGACGTAAGTTGGGCTGTGTGCGTCACGGATCTTTGAAACTGTCCATCGAGCTTCGTTGTTCGGTACGCGGTTCGGAAGACTAACTAGGTCGTAAGTTGTGTTCACGTTTGAGATTTTTTTTTCTGCCAGGCAGTACATCATCCTCTTAGGAGCCCTAAAAGGAGATGGCCGAATGAAACGTTGAAAAACATTAAGTTGAGCAGCGACCTCGCCTTATGCAGTCAGCATGCTCAGCTCGACGGAAAAACATTCCGCAGTTCTTCCGTATATGTGTCTGATAACTACCCATATTTCTAACTGAGCGCTTAAACTGGTATGTGGAAAAAATGTTTTTGGAAGGACAAATGAGTTACCTGCAGCTGTCGGGGAGGACGGGTATACCGATGATGTAGACTGCGATACAAAGGGATAGCATTGAATAACATTTTTAAATCACGTTGGGCCTATCTGTGTTTGTAGAGGAAAAGCCCAGAACCTTGAAATCGCTCAGTACCCGTGATTATTGTAAAACGTAAAAATATACCCGGTTGCAGTTTCAAATTTTTAAGTTTCTTGGTTTTGTTGCAGATCCATGCAATAATTTGAATGAGACGCTGAACACGCAGAGGAGGCGGGGTCTTGGTGATGTCGAGTAGAGTAAAACCTTATTTCTGTTGTGTTTCAGGGTCTTATCCCCAGCAGAGCCCATATCCCCAGCAGGCTGCTGCACCCCTATATCCCCCAGCTATGCAGGTGTCCCCTCAGGCACCTCCTTACTCTGATGCGCCTCCTTCTTATTCTGAGGTAAAGTTCCGTTATTTAATTTAAAATATGTATGTGAAAATATGCTCGTGAAAGCAATTGGTTGTCATTGTTGACACACCACAGAACACGACAATGAAATGTATCCTCTGCATTGAACACATATGTGACATGGTGACCACCATTTATAATAATAGTTTTTCTCTTCCCTTGTTCTTGTATTCAGATTTACCAGCCCAGATACATGCATCCTCCCCAGGCTCCAGGCCAGCTGCCCCAGATGTCCAGCTCCTATCCCGGTGCCCAAATGTATATGCCCCTTCCCCAGACTGTCCCTGTGGCATCTGTGGGTCCCAATGTGCCGATGGCATACTACCCTTTGGGTCCTGTCTATCCAGCAGGCTCCACAGTGCTTGTGGAGGGGGCATATGATGCAGGGGCCCGCTTTGGAGCAAGCAGCACTGCCTCTATCCCTGTGAGTAATTCCCTGTCACTGTGTCCCTAAGTTATTTCTGTTCGCCAGCCATAATGTGAGGAGTGATGCCATGGGAGACATTCATACATAAGCATTTCATACAGAAAATGAATACATAAGAACATGCTGTGTGACTGATGTGTGTTTTTGTGACACAAACCCCTCTGCCTCATTCTGGAGATCAGACCTCACCATGTGGATAAAGTACTCGAATCCAGCTGCACTCTTTCGAATTAATGGTGCAGCCTTTTGCAGTTGGTAAAAGTTGCGACCCACCCATGGTTTTTGCATGCTTTCCCCCACTCTATGCAGCCTCCGCCCCCAGGGCAGCACCCCAATGCAGCCCAGCTTGCAGCAATGCAAGGCGCCAATGTGGTGATGACACAGCGCAAGAGCAATTTCTTCATGGGGGGCTCAGGTGGGGGCTACACCATCTGGTAACAGTGAGGCCTCCACATCCCGATCACTCTTTCTGACCTCCCTCTGGGCTACTTGCTACAAATGATACTGACATTGTTTAACAGAATGTAATATTTTAGTGCCCGGGGATCTGGTACAGAATCCCACTGTTACTGAAGAAAGGGTGAGGTTGAGATTGCCCTCCACCTACCATGTCTTTGTGGAAACCTTTCAGATCATTGGTCTTTGTGTGGGTAGCACATCCAGCCTAAGGGCATACAGAAAGCTAATTGCTATAGTTATTATGGTATTCTGTTGTAGTTTCTTCAGTATACTAGTTTGTCTAGACAGGGTACCTATTTTGGTAATAACTCCCTCAAATTATAAACTGAAAAACCTTGTCAGATATTCACAATCATTGAATTATGATCATGTTCATTTTAATCAGTAAGCCCCCCCCATAAAACTATATATAGCCAAGTCTTCCTTATCTTTACTTGATTATAAAGGCTGAAACGAAATTAAAAAATTATGAAAACAGTGGTTTGCTGTACCTTTTTGACGGGCAAAGGAATATTATGAGGTGCCTAGATTTCTTTTTTTGTCAGCACCTTGGAACAAAACAAAAAATGCAAGAAATATATCAATATCCATAAGTGTATATTCAAGCCGTAGACGGATGGCAGGGAGAGTTATTGGCCATTGGTTTTACTTTTGTCGGATACCCAGAGTTTAGTTCATAATATAAACTTTAAATATATTAAGTTAGTATAAAATATCTCCTTGTTCAAGGCTAAAACCATGTATTCTCGTGCTTGTTCATGTACAAGTACTTGAATCATGAATTACGTAAGCCTTGTTGGCATTGTCGTTATATCATTTGTAAATTCTTATCTTTAGATGCTACAGCAAGGAATTTTAATTGAAAACTGGGTCGTATATAAACATCACCATTGTATTGATTTAAAAAGTAACTTGTAAAACTTGAGGTACTGTTGCTATTTAGGGTCTATCACACCTGCACGCCCTCTCCACAAATAAGTGTGTATGTTTTCTCTGAGAGGTGTATTAAAGCAGGCATTTGTATAACTGCACAGTGATTAATTTAGCATGTTTTTTTGCACATTTGTATTAATTTTCTTTTTCTTAAATTAATATGCAACATTATTGTAATTTTGATTAAAGACTGTTTTCAACTATTAATTAATGTAAACTATTAAATAGTTTACAGTTTCAATAAATTCTCTTGCACCACTGTTTTAAACTGGAAAATATGGGCACACATATTTTCGTATGTCAACTACACCTGTAGCATATTCCTCAGAATTGCTACTGCTTCCTGTAATTGAATACTGCTTTTGAGCTCATCAGAGACTTCAATGAAATTGTGCACCTGAGCCAAGAAGAAGTGGATTATCTGGGGGCTGGGCAGTGATTTTGCAAAATGATCCAGGTGAACAGTCTTACAAAAGGCGGCTATACTTATTTTTGTTCTCTTCTGTACTATAACATTAATTGGTCAGTAATCTCCTGACACATGCAGAGCTTTTTCATGGTCTTCGACCGCCTAATTAAAGAAAACATTACCGCTCTCTCTATCCAAAACCGCTATGATAGTACTTCAGGAATTTTTGGCATTCCATGTCTCATTTTGCTTTCTGTTGCATTCAAAGCTGCAGTAGGAACCCTGTAAGCTTTCACCTGGGCGGATGAACTGTGGGTATCCGACACACATTACTGTTGAAAGTTTTGCCCCTGGATTACAGGGCCACTAACGCCTAAGGTTTAAACCATTTCCAGCCTTTTGGTCTCATGCTCAGCTTGCCGGCCTCTTATTTTGGTTACCAGAGTCGATAACCCTGCCTTGTTATTGAAACCCAATATGCCTGCTTGTAATTTGTAAGCAAGGGCCTCCTTTTTGACACCTCCCAGACTGTTCAAGCGAAGATTAACATCAAACAAAGCAGTTACTGTTATCAAGCTGTTAATGCAATTGCATGGGGCATAACTTTCAAAACAAATTTCAGGACTGAAACAAAACTGTTGAATACTGTACTACTTCCAAAATTTCTTCTCATCCTGACCTTGCGTAATATAAACACTTCCAGTTTTAGAACTACTGTAGCAGTTACCTATATTTCAAAAATAACAATTGCATTTGACCCAAATATATAATGTGCGACTTATGAGATTTTAAGTTCTTGAATGTAAGGAAGACAATAGTACAGGGATTCTCAGATTTTTATTTGCATATATATTTTAATGGTATTTGAAGCTTGTGAATGTTTTATCCCAGCGCTAAGAAGGAACAGTGTTACTGTTATGTGACCGCGTCGGATGGAGCGTCACTGTTGCAGTATGTGTAAAAGCTTTTAAAGGCTGTTTGAGAGTTTACATTGGTGCTGGTGTACTTAACTTTTTTTTATACTAAACCGAAAACATTAAATTAAAAATTAGAATAAAATAACTTTTGTACATTTGAATGGAAATTTTATTGTCATTTTATCGTCTTGTGCATTTGTTTGTAACTGACAGGTGCAATGGGAGAGGTGCAGGGTAGTATGTAATAGCTGAGTGCACTAACAGGCACAATTTATGGTAGAGAGGTAGAGTACAAGCTGCTTACTGCCACATACAGTAAGTGAATGGTGGGCTCCTTACTATATTCCTACAGTAGTTTGTAATTAGTGGTTTACTCAAGTTATTGGTGACCTGCAAGCCTTTCAAGAGACTATTTTCATCTAGTTAAGGAGATTCACTGTCATTTACCGCTGAATCAATTCCTCTGCTGCAGTTGTTCACATCTTAAAATTCAGACAAAAAATGTTGCTTTACAGAGGAAGCAAAAGAATTAAATGGACCTAAATACAGCATATGAAAGAAAAAAGGCTATGGATTTTCAGCTTATAATAGTATTTTAAACTCATTCATACACACAGGGAGAATAAGCAAAGTCTACACATACTGAACCAGTGGTAAACACACAACCCAAAATGTCTTTGCTGGGTCATTAAAGAAAAGGGCAGTGTTTTCCTCATAGTAGCAAACAGAGTGGTGCTGAATTTATTACAGTCAAAAACATCATCTACAGGTCTTTCCAATCAAAATTAAACATATGTAACAATGACTAAGGTGACACAAAAAAAGGCAACAAGCCAACATATATTGCTAACACTTCAAGCTTCCAGTATGTTATTCAGAGGACAAATATCTAATGTACACTGTGCTATGTCATTATGATATGGAATCTCTTTATGACCCTTTACTGTGGTGTTCCAAACGTTTTAAGACAAATCTCTTGAGTCCAACATTTTATATGCAAACACCATCAGTAATGCAGTAAGAACGTCATTATATAAATAAAGGCTGTCACAAAAAGTCTGTCTTAAAGCTCATTGAACACAAATTAATACATCTTTTTGCTTGCTGTGGCTGACTGATATGTTAAAACCTAAGACCATCTGTACCCCATGATATTCCAAGGGGAACACAGCAAAATATTTGATTCTATGGGTCCTGAAGTCAAGAATACAAAGGGAACCACATAAGGAAGAAGAAAAGCGTTGGCTGGTCATCAGCTTCAGCGAGAGTGCTTGGTCTCCACTCAGAGCTACTTGGTTTGGCTCAGATGTACATTGGACTCAGGTAAGTGAAAACAGACACAGGAATACCAAGGTTAACTTGAATCAATGCGTCTGATCGATTTTTCCATGAAGATCCCAGAGTGGTCCAGATGATCCCTGTGCTGAATCCAGTCAGTCTCTTTCACACCACTTAAAATGCCTTCAGGCTTACAGAGACAAAAGAAAATCCACACAACTCTTTTGGTTATATCCTGTATTCTTTAAAAACAGTTGTTTTAGCAGCTTTTGACAGTGTTTTTAAATTTCTCAGTTTCTTGAAAGCATACTGGTAACATCTCAACAACATCAATTTAATGGAGTGACATTTTTAGATATATCTGTATCTCACAAGCACCAGGTACTCACCTTTTCCTCCAAATCACAAAGAACCAGAATGATGTCACCTTCCTTAAACTGCAGTTCTCCGGTGTCCTTGTTGAGATTATCCTCCAGGGCCACCCCCTGAGTTTAGGTACAAAAACACTATGATGCACCTAATTTTCACAATGAAATGGTGACGGAATCTCCACAGCTTACATATCTTTAAACAGTTTATGGTTATTCCATCTGGGAGAGTCGACCCATATAATTTCTTCATAAATAATACCTTGTAATGGGTATATCTCCACAAATCACAAAGATACCACCAAAACGAAACTTTCATTTGCTGTTTTTCAGGTTACTTTCTGGTACCTTGCAGTATCATACAATTTCCACTATCATCTACACCAGGAGTGGGGAGCCAGTTCCATGCAGGGCCGGGGTGGGTGCGGGTTTTTGGGATGGCCTCTCCATCAGCCAATAATAAAACAGTGGTTCTCAACTCCAATCCTGAAGACCCACTGTTATTGGCTGATTGAGAGGTCATCCCAAAAACCCCACCACTGATCTACACTAATATTTACCTAAGCACCGACTGATAAATGGCACATTACAAATCACAACAAGCACAGACAACTTGTCCTCCCACCTCCTGAGAACTATATCTGTATAATTTCTTCACACATCTTTCACCTTGTAGAGAAATCCAGGTGGAAATTCAGGGTGGTCTGCATTTTTTACATCTATGCTGGAGGAAGACACTGGTGTGTCTTCAATGTTAGCGGCAGGGTCAGACGTATCATCATGTTTCTCCAGTGATTCAGTAGAGTTATCTCCCTCCGGGAGGGAGTCCTGAGCAGGGCTATGTTCTGATTGGGCAGTAGTGACCTCTGACACCGCCTCTTCCCTTCCCTCTTCCTCTACATTTGGCTTTTCCTCCCCAGCATTCTCATTTTTGGCGTCATTCAGTTCAGGTTCATCTTCACACAGGCTTTCTGGTTTGGCATTGTCATCACCATGACCATTCATATCTGGGTCCTCAGTGACTTCACTCTGTGAACCATCTGGATCTTCAGGTGTCTGCTGTTCCACCAAAGCCCCAGTCTGGTCTTCCTCCTCCTCCTCCTCCTCCTCCTCCTCTTCCCCTACTTTTTTTATGGGGCTGGCTGGATCAGACCGGTTCTCATCCTGGGTGGGCCCATGGTTGGCTTTGTGGTCTGAGGGGAAGGCCGTGTTACAAGGGATGGGTGCGGAGATAATCAGAGATCGCCGTTTTTTCGAGGATGTGCTGCACAAAAAAAAAAACAAAAAAACAGGAAAATAAGAGCAGTCCGTAAATACAGGAAGAGCTACAATCCCTGTTACCTGAAAAGATACAGGCTTTTCTGTATACAGTGGTACCTCGGTTCTTGAACTCACTAGAACTCGAATTTCTTGAAAGTCGAACAAACCAGTTTGACCTAGAACTCGATCTGAATACCAGAAGTTGAACCGTGAACGCTGACCTAATATAAAATTGTACGCGCCAGGAAATGAGTCATACTACAATGCAATTCTTACTTGAAT